AAAACCGGGTAGCCCCCGGGGAGTTGCCTCATTGACGGGTGACCCATGGCACACAGGTAATGGGAGCTCTCGGGTATCTTCATCACCAATTAATCAACAAACAGTGGACCCCCTGGTAACAACTCCACTGCTGCCCTCATCCAGCGGGCCCTCGATCCCCTGATTGAGGGGCTCCCCTTCGGCGCACCCAGGACATCAACAGCAAGCCTCCGGCTAATCAACACAGGAGCCCTCAGAAGAGAGAGCCTTCGGCATTCCCGTTATCCTCCATTTTTTACCAAGGTTTGACATTTTCGATTCATCATTGGGGGAATTCGGTGCACTCTTTTTCCCTCATTAGGATTTTTTCCCATTGGGTTTTTCCTAATGAGGTTTTTAACGAGGCATCCCCCCAAAATGAAACGAAAAGCGTCAGCCTTCGGCCCACAACAGCAACACAACTACTCTACTCCTTTTCACCACTTTACAAGTGCCTCAAGGAGTGGGGGAATGGAGGACCCCCTCGGGAAAATCATTAAATTACAAAATTAGTAAAAATCCAACAAACGACAAGGCAAGCCCTCAAGTCCCGACATGTGGATAACTGAGGGACTGCCTTCGGCAGGGACATAAAAGCAACAACTCCTGACCAACTTCAGAGATCACGACGGGACAACATCAAAGGGCAAGCACAAATTACTCCTTTTCCCTCAAGTACCTTTCGGCAAAAGGAGTGAGCGACTCCTGATGGAGTATATGGCCCGGGAACCCCCAGCCCACAGACTCCTACTACTCCTTTAAAGGCCCAACAGGCCCAGAAGGTCCAACAGGCCCAAATCACAGCGCCCAGAGTACCAAGCAGCCCGCACTACGCGCCAGGGGTGCCTTCGGCCCCCTGGCCGAAGGCTCTAAACTCTCACAGAACGGGTTTCTCAAGCAAACTAAGAAACTGGGAGAAAACGGCGAAAACAGTAGCCCTCGGCACTGTGAGCCCTCGGCACCAGGGTGCCATCGGTTGGAGGAGCCCTCAGCTACTTCTCTATAACCGAAGGCATCTCACTCGACAAGATATCCGCCTCACATGCGTACAGATCACCGTACCCTGTACAGACGTCCCATCCAACAGCCGCATTAAATGCGGCCACATGCGGCTGCCAGCGCCAACCAGTTGAGGTGACCCCTCGGCCAATGAGCGCTTGACACGTGTCCCTGCCCGGCATTTATTGCTACTATAAATAGCACCCCATTTCCCCATTTGTAACGACGCTGAAAACGGCATTCATACTGAATATACTCTCTCTCTACATTTACTTGCTCTGACTTCTCTCTAAGTTATTCCCCGTAATAACCCTTCGGATATATACCCCCGGGTAGACTATCCATCATTCAGACATAGGATTCACAACTGAGGATATGTCTCTTGTAACGCCATTAAATTTCAAGTGAGGAACTACAATTGAAGTTGTTGTAAATAAAAGACAATTGAAATTTTTACATTTTAACAAAAAGTTAGTAATGGCAATACAAAACTATTATTGATAATAATAAAAACAATTATAACAAACAACTTCAACAATACTATAACATAATTTATGATTTTATATAATGATAATAATCTCAATAATAATTTGGATTTTCAACAATGCACAATAAATTAACAAACTTCTTAAAAAACAATGATACATCCGAATAGTATATAACAATAACAATCTTAGTAATAATATTATAATAATTTATCATATTTCTTTTTGTTAAAGATAGTGAAAATGAAAATAAGAATATTACATCATAATTTATAATTACATATTATTACATATTTGCAATAAGGAAATATGAAAAAAAGAATATTATAACATAATTTATAATTACATATTATTATGTTAATAATAATAACACGGCCCAAATAACTTAGCTCAATATTAAAAATTATAATACTAACTCAGGCCACTCAAACAATCTGAATGCTGAAAATAATAGAAATAATATGCATATAATAATTACTGATAGAGTATATAGACTCGGACCCCCGGGTCTCACGACTATTGGGCCCGGACAGCGGCCCACACACATCTTACGGATATCATTTGTATTATTGTACTGCTTATATGTCATTTGTATACTAGATTAGTCTTTTATGTAGTTGGGCTACCGGGCCCATATTAGTGGCCCGGCCCGTTATTCCTCTATTTATACTCCTTTTGGAGCTTGTAAACCCTAGATCTCAATTCATTATCATTCTATTATTCATCTTCTCCACAATACTTGAGCTCAAATCTCTACATTTTATACATACTTGGATCCTAATAATCCATCAATGGTGCTCTCGTTGAGAGGTGAGCAAAATCAAGTGAGAAATCCTCCCAAAACATACAAAAAACTCATTCCAATGGTGACCGTTGCCTTTATATGAGTTGGCGAGAAATCCTCAGCGCCGAGAGTCTTGAGTTGGCGATCGGGCTCACCATCCCTTTCTGGATGGTGACCGTTGCCTTTATATGACGATTGGCCCATCATGGCCTCGTCATCATTTATTGGAACGGCTCATCATCGCCGTCATGCTCACATCGCGGCAGACCCCTCGGTCTCAACGCGATCTTGAGCTAGCGACTGGGCTCACCATCCCTTCCTGGATGGTGACCATCGCCTCCATATGACGGCCGGCTCATCATTGCCCCGTCATCATATTTCGGATTGGCTCTTTTCATAGCCATCCGCGCATCACGACCGGCCCCTCGGCCTCGGCGTGACTATCTATCTCAAGACCGGCTTTCTCAGCGCCGCGAGTCTTGAGCTAGCGATCGGGCTCGCCATCCCTTCCCGGATGGTGACCATCGCCTTTATATGACGATCGGCTTCATCAGCGCCTCATCCTCATATTATAGGACCGGCTCCTCATCGTCATTGTCCTCGCATCATGACCGGCCCCTCGGCCTCGGTGTGATCATCTATCTCAAGACCGGCTTCCTCAGCGCCGCGAGTCTTGAGCCAGCGATCGGGCTCGCCATCCCTTCCCGGATGGTGACCATCGCCTCTGTATGACGGTCGGCTTCACCATCGCCTCGTCACCATTATTTGGACCGACTCCTCACCGTCGTCGTCCTCATATCACGACCGACCCCCTCGGCCTCGACGTGATTATTTATCTCGAGACCGGTCTTAGTCATTCCTTTACCGAATGACGACCGTTGCATGGATTTTTGGTCGGCCCCTCATCGCCGTCGTCCTCACATCATGCCCGGCCCCTCGGCCTCGGCGTGATTATCTACCTCAAAACCGGCTTCCTCAGCGCCGCGAGTCTTGAGCCAGCGATCGGGCTCGCCATCCCTTCCCGGATGGTGACCATCGCCTCTGTATGACGGTCGGCTTCACCATCGCCTCGTCACCATTATTTGGACCGACTCCTCACCGTCGTCGTCCTCATATCACGACCGACCCCCTCGGCCTCGATGTGATTATTTATCTCGAGACCGGTCTTAGTCATTCTTTTACCGAATGACGACCGTTGCATGGATTTTTGGACCGGCCCCTCATCGCCGTCGTCCTCACATCATGCCCGGCCCCTCGGCCTCGGCGTGATTATCTACCTGAAGACCGGCTTCCTCAGCGCTGAGAGTCTTGAGCTGGCGATCGGGCTCACCATCCCTTCATGGATGGTGACCGTCGCCTTTATATGACGATTGGCCCATCATGGCCTCGTCATCATTTATTGGAACGGCTCATCATCGCCGTCATGCTCACATCGCGGCAGACCCCTCGGTCTCAACGCGATCTTGAGCTAGCGACTGGGCTCACCATCCCTTCCTGGATGGTGACCATCGCCTCTATATGACGGCCGGCTCATCATTGCCCCGTCATCATATTTCGGATTGGCTCTTTTCATCGCCATCCGTGCATCACGACCGGCCCCTCGGCCTCGGCGTGACTATCTATCTCAAGACCGGCTTCCTCAGTGCCGAGAGTCTTGAGCTAGCGATCGGGCTCGCCATCCCTTCCTGGATGGTGACCATCGCCCTTATATGACGATTGGCTTCATCCTTGCCTCGTCATCATATTATCGGATCGGCTCATCATCTCCGTCCGCACATCACGATCGGCCCCTCGGCCTCGGCGTGATTGTCTATCCCCAAGACCGGTCTCAGTCATTCCTTCATCGGATGGCGACCGCTGCTTGGACTTTTGGATCAGCCTCGTAGTGCTGACGACCTCGCATCACGATCGGCCCCTCGGCCACGACGTCACACCCTATCCCAACACTGGCATCATCAGCGCCGAGTGTGTTGGGCTAGCGATCAGGCTCGCCATCCCCTCCTGGATGGTGACTATCGCCTCTATATGACGATCAGCTCCATCATCGCCTCGTCATCATATTTCGGACTGGCTCCTCATCATTGTCATCCGCACATCGCGATCAGCCTCTCGGCCGCGACGTGATTATTTATCTCAAGACCGGCTCCCAGCGCCGAAGTCTTGTTATAGCGATTGGGCTCGCCACCCCTTCCCGGACGACGACCGTCGCCCCTATATGACGCACGGCTCATCATCGCCTCGTCCTCACATTTAGACCGGCCCCAGCGCCGAAGTCCTTATCTAGCGACCAGGCTCGCCATTCCCTTCCTGGATGGTGACCGTCGCCTTCATACGACGCATGGCTTATCATCGCCTCGTCCCCATATTCGGACCGGCTCACCAGCGCCATCGTCCCCATATTCGGACCGGTTCGTCAGCGCTGTCGTCCTCATTTTCGGACCGACTCATCAGCGTCGTCGTCCTCATATTCAGACAGGCGTCCACCGCCTCGTCCCCCTATTCAGATACAGCGAACATCTTGCGGTCTCCGGCCGAAAGGCTAAAGGAGCCCAGAGTTCAGCCATATATCGCTCCGTCATCTTTATTTGATGACGCGAAGCTCATTTGCAGGCCCATCGGCCATATATCGCTCTGTCATCTTTATTTGATGATGAAGAGCTCATTTGTAGGCCCATCGGCCATATATCGCTCTGTCATCTTTATTTGATGATGAAGAGCTCATTTGTAAGCCCGTCGGCCATATATCGCTCTGTCGTCTTTATTTAATGACGAAGAGCTCATCTACAGGACCATCGGCCATATATCGTTCTGTCATCTTTATTTGATGACGAGGAACTCATTTGTAGGCCTCTGAGCCACATCTTGCTGCGTCATCTTTATTTGATGACGCGAAGCTCAGTTGCAGGCCCATCGGGCGTATATCGCCTCGTCATCTTTATTTGATGACGCGAAGCTCATTTACAGGCCCATCGGCCATACATCACCCCGTCATCTTTATTTGATGATGTGGGGCTCTCATGTAGGCCTCTCGGCCATCCATCGCCCCGTCGTCTTTATTTGACGACGTGGAGCTCTTATGCAGGCCCCTCGGCCGCACCATCGCCCCGTCGTCTTTATTTGACGACGTGGAGCTCTTATGCAGGCCTCTGATCCATACATCACCCCATCATCTTTATTTGATGATGTGGGGCTCTTATGCAGGCCCCTCGGCCGCACCATCGCCCCGTCGTCTTTATTTGACGACGTGGAGCTCTTATGCAGGCCCCTCGGCCGCACCATCGCCCCGTCGTCTTTATTTGACGACGTGGAGCTCTTATGCAGGCCCCTCGGCCGCACCATCGCCCCGTCGTCTTTATTTGACGACGTGGAGTTCTTATGCAGGCCCCTTGGCCACACCATCGCCCCGTCGTCTTTATTTGACGACGTGGAGCTCTCGTACAGGCCTCTCGGCCCATCGGCCTTACGTTCCGGTCATCTTTATTTGATGAACCAGACATCATATTGTGGACGGTCGCTTGACCCATCCCTTAGTCATCTTTATTTGATGACTAGGACTACTGATCATGATGAGCTACCCACATCTGGAGATCGGCCTCGACCATCCAGCAGACGGGCACCGCTGCAGCTCCATCTCCAGGCCGAAGGGCTCGCACCTTTTGTTTCATTTTGGGGGCATCCGGTGTACTCTTTTTCCCTCATTAGGATTTTTTCCCACAGGGTTTTTCCTAATGAGGTTTTTAACGAGGCATCTCCCCATCGTGGATCAAAAGGTGTCAACCCTCGGCCCCCTGTTGAAGACATCATCCGACACGCATTACTCTACTCCTCTTCACCTCATTGCACTCGCCTCAAGGAGTGGGGGACTGGGAGAGCGGGGGACTTAGCGCCTTCGTTAACCAAAGAAGCAGAATTTCAAATTTTTGTTCATGAAGTTTACTCACCAGACGGTGACAGATCATCACACGGTTCTACTCTCTTTCGCCTCGAATACTCTCGACTCAGAGAGTGGGGGACTCCTGATAGAGTATATAGACTCGGACCCCCGGGTCTCACGACTATTGGGCCCGGACAGCGGCCCACACACATCTTACGGATATCATTTGTATTATTGTACTGCTTATATGTCATTTGTATACTAGATTAGTCTTTTATGTAGTTGGGCTACCGGGCCCATATTAGCGGCCCGGCCCGTTATTCCTCTATTTATACTCCTTTTGGAGCTTGTAAACCCTAGATCTCAATTCATTATCATTCTATTATTCATCTTCTCCACAATACTTGAGCTCAAATCTCTACATTTTATACATACTTGGATCCTAATAATCCATCAATTACAGTTACCGTTCTTTTTAGCAGCTAAGACATTAGACAAACCTGTATTTTCATTTGATGTTGTGTTGAGAGAACAATGCAACGAGGCAGTTTCATGGCATCGTACATGTTTTCTTTGATTGGGATCACAATTTTCTAATCAATATAAACAACAATTACAATTAATAAAAGCATTTATTTATTTTAATATGCTATTATAGTAGTTCATTAGTCATAAAAAATATCATTATGATATCTTCCCAACCGAAATGAGTTATTTCTGTCCGATCTTGGGTTATTTGACCTGTTTTGTTTTAGGTAGAGCTCTGTATTTCTATCTTTTTGTCCCCTTGTTATGAACATGCGCTTCAAAAATGTTTTACTTAATGAACAACATAAACAACACATTAAAATTGACGATTTATCAATTCCAATCGAGGATAACATTATTAATAATAATAATAATAATTATTATTATTATTATTATTATTATTATTATTATCAAATCATTCAAATTTATATTATTGACATAAATATTAGAAAATTCTTTCTCAAATTTTCAGGCTAACAATTAAGCTTAATGAATATACCAATATGTAAATATATACACACACACACACACTTAATAATAATAATAATAATAATGATAATAATAATAATAATGATGATGATGATGATGATGATAACAACAATAATAATAATAATAATAATGATAATGATAATGATAATAATAACAATAACAACAATAATAATATTAATAATTAATAATATTAATAATAATAACAACAACAACATTATGAGGCCGTTTGGTAACACTATTTTCGGCTTATCAGGCTTATCAGCCAATTTTTTCACCAAACATATAACTTTTGTTTTTGTATAATAATAACAAAAAGTTAAGGTGAAGTTACTTTTGTGGCTGAATTGGCTATTTTTACATATAATTTTTCTTTATTGTATCAACAAAATATATTTTAAAAATATATTTATCTTAAATCAGCAGAATCAACCAATTCAGCCACTACAATAATACCCAGCCCAGCACAATAATACAATACCAGGCCCATTCTCAACCCATTACACAAAACCCAGCCCAGCACAATAATACAATACCAGGCCCATTCTCAACCCATTACACAAAACCCATGTAACACCGACCCCGAGCATATTTACTTTTAGTAAATTATGTAATAAACCTTGAAAGATGATTTATGAATTTGCGTAATTGTAAATTTTTATTATTTCTTTTACGTGAATAGTAAATTGCATGTGGGGCCCACAGCGGGAACGGGGACCGCCCGATAATTCCCGGACCACATATTATATTCATCTTGGTCTAGATAATATGTATATGGTGGTGGATATTTTATTTGGGCCGTAAGAAAGGCATGGAGTTGACCGGTTGGTCAAACGGGGCCCAATTACCGGTATTGGTAATTTAACGGATAACAGCCCGAAATGAGTTTCGGAGGCTTCTAAATCAATGTTGGGGAATACACATCTATTCTAAAGGCCCATAATTATTAACAATACGTGATACATTTTATCCGACCCGATAAAATAAAATATGACTGAACTAGCCCGAAAAATACAACTTTCGGGGCCGGTTGTACACACCGGGACATAATGGGATGACCTCCCACATAAGTGGGGGCCACCGCACGTTTTTATGGGTGCTGAATGACCAGAGTAATGGGAATGGGACATCCAAATATGGCTTATGCGGACTTATGAAGGAGAGGGTGGCTGGGGGACAAAACCACACCCCTCCTTGTCTCATTCATGCACCATCCTCATAAGGTGAGAGGACTTGATGGACTCCTCCCTCATTCTACACCATAAGGAGGATAGAATAGAGAGATAAGGTCCAGGGAAGAGCTCCCAAAATTATGGAGCTTGAGGAGCCAAGAAGAAGGAAGAATCCATAGAGGAAAAAGCTAAGCCTTGAGGTAAGAGCACATATGGTTCTTCTAACTAGTTTTTTGTGTATGATTTTTAAGAAATCATATGGGGGATTAAAACTCGAGTTCTACACGTTTAAAAGTGTAGAATATTGTTATAAAGTGGTGTTAATTAACTTAGAAGAGTTGGTGAATCGATAGGAGTCGAAATCGCCGGAAACCGCCACATATAGGGAGCTGTTCGTGTTGCAGGAGGACGAACGTCGCCCGGCTTTCACGAAAGCCGCCCGGCTTTCGCTTGATTCCCAGATTTTCCACTCTTGAACGGCCTAGAACGAGGACGGATCGAGGGGGTTTCGCTAAGGCAGCTAGTTGAGCACATCATAAGGTGAGGATGGCTGACTATATTGCTTATAATTAATGAGTTAATTTCATGAGATTACTGAAGGTAATTAAAAGTATTTTATGGATTATTAATGATTAATAATGCCTACAAAATGACAAGACTAAATGTCTAAAGAAAAAGGGAGCATGATATACAAATTTATGAGTAAATTGTGTATGTTCATGTGTTATGAGTATGTTGACTTGAAAGTGGAATTTATTATGAAACATATGTTGAAATATACTTTTCTTCATATTAGATTATATGAGTGATTAAAAGTGATATTTTGAATATTGAGGTAAATGATGTTTTCAAAGGAAAATCAGTGGGAATTGTCTATATGACTATGAGTTGAGAACTTGGTTTGTTGATATTAAATTGACTAGTATTATGATACTAGTTGGACATTAAATGAAATGTTGTTAAGATTAATCCTAATATTGGATTGTGAAATGTTAGGCCTTAAGTAGTCTTAAGAGATGCTTTAAGGTAGGAAAGTATGAACTCTAAGTTATACTAGGGGTAGGCCTTAAGGGGTACCCAAGATAAAGTAAGTAATAAATTGATCCTAAGTATAGGATTGGCCTACGGGTGTGTTCGGTAGTCCTTGTGGATAGCCGGTTGAATTATGGAAATAGTAAGGACCATGGCCCTTCCCGACTCTAGAGAGCGGGGTTGGATAGCATGGACTTACATCGTGATCACGGGTTAGGGTGGAATCCGAATCGGAGACCTAACTATGTTCTGGTAGCGGTAACACATAAGATAGGACCCCGAAGGGCCTTACCTTCCTACGGGATGATGGGTATGAGTCCAGGGGCGGGATGTTGGAGTCTGAACCGGGAGCCTCATGAGGTCTCGGACAGCGGTAGCAAGTCCCGTAGAAATAATAAGACCCAAGGGTTGGGTTGTGCAAATGATAAATGAAAAGGAACATATAAGAAGGGCCGTGTGCCGACAGATAAATAAATTCACTTATTATAAAGATAATAAGTGGGAAATATAAATTGTTATGTATAGTATGATATCACCCTATTTTGCGGGTCTTGGAAATTAAAACGTTGATTATACTTAGTGTAGTTGCTATTGTTGTAAGGAATATTTGTATTTAGATTTTGATGATGCTAGATTAATTAGGACTTTAGAGTACCCCTATTTAGACTTAATGTATTAGAATTTTCATTTGTAAAGTTCTTAGTGTAATCGACTTGGCAGAATGTTTTCAGGGCAGAAGACCTTCTGAGCAGAAGGGCTCCAAGAGCAGAAGACCCTTCTAAGGCATTGTTGAACAGAGGACCTTTGGTTCTCTGCCCCAGAACAGAAGACCTCAGGGTCTCTGTTAGCCTTAATTCTGACAGAAACCCTCCTGGTTCTCTGTTGGATATACTCTCAACAGAGGTGCTCCAGACCTCCTCTGATCAACTCTCAGTTAAAGACACCAGAAGGTCTGACACTTAGAAGAATTCTACATAGCCGGGAAATCAACTGAAAGATTCCTTCAACGGCTAGGAGTATTGAACGGAAAAGCTACAGTGCACGCATTAAATGCTCATTTAATGCTCCCCATGCTCCGTAGAGTAATTGCAGATGATTGGCCGCAATGTCAGGATTACTTTATCCCAAAATAGTAACCCGCCAACTTTACCGGGCTCTACTGGTCAAGTCAACTGCTCGCGAATTAAATGAAGATTGTCCTCCTTCACCTCCAACGGGAAGACAACCCTCAGTATAAAAGATACACTACGAAGAACAACCGGATAACTGTTGGAGATATTTAATTGTGAATTAAGTTGGTCATAGATTAGCTTTATATTTAATCCTTGTATTTAAATAGTGCATAAATTAGATAGAAATCAGGCCAAGTGTTAGGTCCATTTAAACAGGCTAAAAGCCTGGTACGCCTAACCTAAACCTCGCCTATAAAAAGGGAGCCGAGGTTTAGGAAAAGGCTGAACGTCGTACTTATTATTCATAGCCTTACGCATATCATTCTGCTGTACGCTTCCACGGTTTATCAAAGAAGGTTTTACGGTGATTCATTTTGTATTCATCTTTACGTTTAATCTTCCTTGTTAGATCGATTATTCATTGTTGTTACAGAAACAGGGACTAACAATTGGTATCAGAGCCGATCAAGAACAATCAGAAGAACTCCTGCAGAATACTCTGTTTTTGTTAACGTAGTTCATTCTGTCGATTTTTTGCTCTGTAATTTTGTTTCTTGTTCAAAAATTGTAAAAGTTACACCTTTGGAATCGCCTTTTCAAAGCGATCAAAGGGTATACTTCAGATTATGTTTTACGCAAATTTAGATTTCGAGATATCTCGAGCAGGGGTTGTCGACATCCTGCTTTTTCACAGGTTCTGCTACGTTTTTCGAGCTGAAAACTTTACACGAAGATCTCGACATTCAACTCTACAGGAAACTACCTTCAGATTTTGTTTATCTGATTTTTACAGGTTACAGGATTTCGACATTGAGGATTTCGACATCTAGGATTTCGAGATCTTGATTTCGAGAAAAGGATTCGACATCTGGTCTCGACATTTGACTTATCAGATTAAGATTTCGAGTAATTAACTTCTCGACATTTCAAATCTCGAGATCAGCATCTCGAAATTTGAAATCTCGAGATCCCTAATCTCGAGA